CTGGTGAGGCTGCTGCTCTAGGTGCTAGTGCGTTTGCTGCCCTAGGAGCTGGTGAGTCTGCCCTCTCAGGTACCACGTCGGCTAAGGCCTTACACACCTTCACCCTTGACTCGGGTGCTTCCAGCTCCTTCTTTCGAGAACGCACCACGCTTACGCCGCTTAGTCGGCCGGTTGCAGTCTCCCTGGTAGACCCCTCTGGGGGTCCTGTCCTTGCTAGCTTCTCCACTGTCTTACCGTGTCCAGCAGCCCCCTCTCGCACACTGTCAGGTCTCTACCTCCCCTCGTTCTCTATGAACTTGGTGAGTGGAGCTGATCTACAGGATAGGGGGGTTGACCACTTCATTCCTGCGAGTCAGCGGGTGACCCACTGCACGTGTGCTCGGACGGGCCGACACTTGGCCACGTTTACCCGTCGGCCGGGGTCGAGCCTGTACACACTGATTACTGAGTCTCCTCCGGTTGCTGAGTCTGGTTAGGTAGCTGCGTCGATTCAGGTGTTTGCTGCAGCGTCCAGGTCTGGTCCTGAGTCTGCTCCCTGCTCGTGTCGTCTCCTGTCCCACCAGACTCTCCTTTGGCACCACCGCCTTGGTCACCCCTCCCTGCCTCGTCTCCGAGGCATGGCCTCCCAAGTCCTTGTCTGTGGTCTCCCCCGGTCCCTCCCTCCCCTACCTCCGGGGCCTACCCCTACCCGCGTTCCCTGCGTCAAGGGGCGGCAGCGCTCTGCCCCTCACTCCTCCGAGTTTCCTCCGACAGAGGCTCTGCTGCAGAATCTTCACATGGACGTGTGGGGCCCCGCCCATGTCCGTGGCCAGGGTCACGAGCGTTACTTCCTGTTGGTGGTTGACGAGTACTGGCGTTACACCACGGTCTTCCCCTTGCGCAGCAAGGGTGACGTCACTGAGGTGTTGATCGACTAGATCCGCGCAGCTCGTCTCCAGCTCAGAGAGAGTTTCGGCTCGGACTTTCCTGTTCTGCGTCTGCACTTTGACAGAGGCGGGGAGTTTTCCTGTGCCCATCTAGGTGCCTTCTGTCGTGCACAGGGCATCCGCCAGACCTTCACGCTTCTGGCCTCTCCACAACAAAATGGGATTGCTGAGCGCCGCATTTGCATGGTCATGGACGTTGCTCGTACGTCCATGATCCATGCGGCTGCCCCCCATTTTCTTTGGCCGTTTGCGGTTCAGTACGCAGCGCATCAGCTCAACCTTTAGCCCCGGGTCTCCTTGCTAGAGACCTCCCCCACGTTGCGGTGGACGGGGAAGGATGGGGATGCGTCTGCGTTTCGGGTCTGGGGATCTCAGACGTTTGTCCGCGACTTGTCTGTGGACAAGCTGTCCCCCCATGCTGTTCCCTACGTCTTCCTTGGCTTCCCCCCCTGACGCGCCTGGTTGGCAGTTTTACCACCCCACCTCGCGCCGTGTTACGTCCTCCCACGACGTCACCTTTGACGAGTCGGTGCCTTACTACCGTCTCTTCCCCTACCGCACTTCGCCCCTCCCCCCGCCGCCGCTCTTCCTTGCGCCAGGTCCTCCCCCGGTAGACCCCCTCCCCCCTCAGGGTCCTGCCCCATCAGGTGTGTCCCAGGTAGACGCAGTCAAGCCTGTCGAGGTAGCTGTTGACTCTGGTGCTGCTTGAGGTGCTGAGCCAGCGGGTGCCGGGTCTAGGGGTGCTGAGCCTGGGGGTGCTGAGTGTGGGGGTGCTAAGCCTGGGGGTGCTGAGGCTGGGGGTGCGGAGCCTGGGGGTGCTGGGTCAGCTTGTGTGGCCTCTCGCGGTGCTTTGTTGAGGCGGGAGCTTCTCTCTTTACAGGAGCTGCGCGAGTGGTTTGCCCGGCGCTCGAGCCGTGCTGCTGGAGCTGGAGGTACTACTGTTGCTGCTGGTCCTGGAGGTGCTCGTACTGGCGGTACTGGAGCTGCTAGGACTGGGGGTGCAGCTGGGGCTGCTGGAGTTAGTCCTGCTGGAGGTACTGCTGGAGCTGCTGGCGGTACTGGAGCTGACGGTCCTGCTGGTGTTGGTGTTGCTGGAGCTCCTGGAGCTGGAGCTGCTGGGGGTGTTGGCGCTGGTGAGTCTGCTGGCGCTGGTGCTTCTGAGGGTGCTCGAGTTGGTTGTTGGAGCTGGAGGTGCTGCTCGCGCTGGTGCTGCCGCTGGGCGTACTGGTGCTGTCCCTGCTGGTTCAGGAGGCGCTGCGCGGCCGCGGCCGTACTTCGTTTCGCTACTTGAGCAAGTTCTTGGTCTCCCGCCCTCTACTGGCCCTGCTCCTCCCTTAGAGTGTCCACAGCTTGTCCAGTCGCGGTCACAGTTACAGCCCGCCTCCCCCCTGCCTACTCCTTCTCCCTACACTGGTCCTAATGGAGGTCTTACTGAGCGTCGTGAGCCTTCGTCTCATCCTGCGTCGCCTGTTCGTGCTCCTCGCACTAGTGGTCGTGCTCCGCGTCCGCATCCTCCTGCGGTCCCAGGCACATACCAGATGGCACTGCGTCCTTCCACTGCTCCTCTGCGTGTCCCGTTGCCGTCTCCTCGAGAGTCCTCTCTTCCTGTTCTTGCAGACCCGGAGTCTGACTCTCTTCGTGCTGCTAGTCCTACTATCACGCGTCTCCTGGCTACAGTTGTCAGTGAACCTTCCTTTGAGTCCACTGCTGCGTCTGCCTTAGTTGCCGAGCTTGTCGACATTGCTGCTCGCTGTCGTCTAGACTACGCCGCTAGTCTCGTTGCTGAGTCTGAGTCTGTCTATCCTCCGTCCGTCGGGGGTGAGTGTGCTCTTAGCACGGACGTCCTTGAGGACAGGCAGGAGGAGTTCCAGTGTTTTGCTGCTGCTTTGCCTCATCTCGTGTCCACGCTGATTGCCCCTGAGGGAGACCCGGATGCACCAGACATCCCGACTCTTCGATCGTACGCTGAGGCGATCGAGGGTCCCTACTCCTCTCAGTGGCAGTCAGCCATGGACGCAGAGATGGCTTCCTGGAAGTCCACAGGCACCTACGTCGACGCTGTTCCCCCTCCTGGGGCGAACATCGTCAGTGGCATGTGGATTTTCAGGGTGAAGCGGCCGTCGGGTTCTCCGCCTGTCTTCAAGGCGCGTTACGTGGCTCGATGCTTCAGTCAGCGGCAGGGAGTTGACTACTTTCAGACCTTCTCTCCCACCCCGAAGATGACCACTCTTCCGGTGCTGCTGCACATAGCCGCTCAGCGCGACTACAAGCTTCACTCTCTTGACTTGAGCACAACTTTCCTGCAGAGCAGCCTGCACGAGGAGATCTGGCTGCGCCGCCCACCTGGCTTCACTGGGTCGTTTCCTCCTAGTACCCATTGAAGCCTCCAACGGCCAGTCTACGGTCTCTGCTAGGCGCCCCATGAGTGGCACGCCACACTGAAGACTACACTTGCGGCTCTTGGGTTTTCTCCTTCTACAGCCGACCCGTCGTTGTTTCTGCGCACCGACACTTCTTTGCCGCCGTTCTACATCCTTGTGTACGTCGATGACTTGGTCTTTGCCACTGATGACATTGCTGGACTCGCCCACGTGAAGTCCGAGCTGCAGAAGAGACACACGTGCACAGACCTGGGTGAACTGCGCAGCTACCTTGGCTTGCAGATCACCCGGGACAGAGCACAGCGCACCATTACCCTGACTCAGTCACACATGGTGCAGCAGGTCCTTCAGCGCTTTGACTTTACGTACTCCTCGCCTCAGGCCACTCCTTGTCTACTCGCCACTCGCTCTCAGCTCTGCCTTCGGATGAGTCCGTAGAGCTGAGTGGCCTGTACCCAGAGCTTGTTGGCTGCCTCATGTACCTGATGACCTGCACACGACCTGACCTTGCATACCCTCTTAGCATCTTGGCACGCTATGGTGCTCCTGGGAGACACCGACCAGAGCACATGGGTGCAGGGTAGAGGGTGTTGCGCTACTTGTGCAGTACGTCGGGCATGGGGCTAGTGCTTGGAGGGCGACGTCAAGTGGTCCTCACAGGTCACGCAGACGCTTCTTGGGCTGACGACCAGGCTACGCAGCGGTCGTCACAGGGTTACACCTTCAGCCTTGGCTCCGGCTCTGTTTAGTGGCAGTCTACCCGCTCGACTTCTGTTCTCGGCTCCGGCTGTGAGGCTGAGATCTACGCGGGGGCCATGGCTGCACAGGAGCTACGCTGGCTCACCTACCGGCTCACTGACCTAGGAGAGCCGCCTCGTTCTCCTCCAGTTCAGTACGTAGACAACAAGGCCATGCTGGCCTTGTGTCGGGAGCACAGACTGGAGCACAGAACGAAGCACATTGCTCTTCGCTACTTCCTTGCTTATGAGCTGCAGCAGCGTGGTCAGCTGCGCCTTGCTTACGTGGCCTCTGAGGCCAACACTGCTGATATCTTTACCAAGGCACTTCCGCCTGGTAATCATCAGCGCTTCTGTACGATGCTAGGTCTTTTGCCTACTTGGCCTCACTTGCTCACTTCTTGACCTTGCTTGTACTGTGATCTTTCTATATCTGCACTTGCCTGTTTACCTTTATGTATGATCTTGCATGTGAACTGGCCTTTTGGCCTTGCTCTTGTGCTCGGATTGTGTGGTGACGTTGTGATCCACCCTGAGCTTGCTTTGCTTTGCTTGACTGGTCTTGTGACCTCTAGTTCTCCCCCACTTTGCCTATGGTGGAGCACCATGGTAAAAATCTGCCGCTACTCTCACGCGTCCCCACTATATAGAGACATGCCGATGACTGTCTACAAGATGTAAGGTTCATTTTGCCTTCGTAGTGGCTCCCGCCTCGACGAAGCACCGCTGCCGGCCACACTAGCAGACCCAACGCCCCCAGGCTCCGCACCCCCAGGCTCCGCACCCCCAGACTCAGCACCCCCAGGCTCAGCACCCCCAGGCACAGCACCCCCAGACTGAGCACCCCCAGGCTCAGCACCCCCAGACTCAACACCTCCAGACCCGGCACGCGCAGGCTCAGCAGCTCTAACCGCACCAGAGTCAACAGCTATCTCGACAGGCTCGACTACGTCTACCTAGGACACACCTGACGGGGCAGGACCCTGAGGGGGGAGGGGGTCTACCGGGGGAGGACCTGGTGCAAGGAAGAGCGGCGGCGGGGGGAAGAGACGTTAGTAAGGCACCGACTCGTCAAAGGTGACGTCTTGGGAGGACAGAACACGGCGCGAGGTGGGGTGGTAAAACTGCCAACCAGGCGCGTCAGGGGGGAAGCCAAGGAAGACGTAGGGAACAGCACGGGGGGACAGCTTGTCCGCAGACAAGTCGCGGACAAACGCCCGAGATCCCCAGACCCGAAATGCAGACGCAGCGCCAACCTTCCCCGTCCACCGCAAGGTGGGGGGGGGTCTCTGGCAAGGAGACCCGGGGCTGAAGGTTGAGCTGATGCGCTGCGTACTGAACCACAAACGGCCACAGGAAATGGGGGGCAGCCGCATGGATCATGGACGTACGAGCGACGTCCATGACCATGCCAATGCGGCGCTCAGCAATCCTATTTTGCTGTGGAGAGGCCGGAAGCGTGAAGGTCTGGCGGATGCCCTGTTCGCGACAGAAGGCTCCCAGACGGGCAGAGGAAAACTCCCCACCTCTGTCAGAGTGCAGACGCAGAACAGGAAAGTCCGAGCCAAAACTCTCCCTGAGCTAGAGACGAGCTGCGCGGATCCAGTCGATCAACACCTCAGTGACGTCACCCTTGCTGTGCAATGGGAAGACTATGGTGTAACGCGAGTAGTCGTCAACCACCAACAGGAAGTAACGCTCGTGCCCCTGTCCACGGAAGCGGGCGGGGCCCCACACGTCCATGTGGAGAGTCTGCAGCGGAGCCTCTCTCGGAGGAAACTCGGAGGAGTGAGGGGCGGCGCGCTGTCAGCAAGGATAGCAAGTTCGTAGAAGCTAGCAAGTACACACAGGTAACAGTCACCCTCAACACTAGTAGTCACAGCATACATGGTAGCAAGGATAGCATCATAGTCAAGATCAAAGATGGCAACCCCCGCCCTAGACAGATCTCCCCAGCGAGGGATCTCTGACGCCTCAGGGAACTGGTGACGCCACGCGTCCGTCAGGCGGCCGAAGCAGCGTTGGGTGGAGTGCAAGCCCCCGCACTGCTCACCAGCGCGGTCGCCGGTACGGAGGACGTAAGTGTAGGGACCAGTACCCCCACCGCGCTGACGCGCAGCGTACCACTCACGAAGCTGCTGAGGGGACAGGGTCTCACGACCGCGCTGCTGCTGCTGGCGCGGACCACCACCGGACCCACTCCTCTGCGCAGAGTCGCGACCAGCTCCACCGCCACCGCCTCCGCCGCCTCCGCCACCTCTGCCGCCTCCGCCACCTCCGCCGCCTCCGCTCCCTCCCCCACCACCGCTGCCTCCGCTGCCTCCACTGCTGCCACCGCCGCCGCCACCCCCGCCACCACTCCCACCACCACCCCCACCCCCTTTACTACCTCCACCACCACCTCCACCGCCCCCGCTAGCCCCTCCAGCGCCCTTGCCCTTGTCGGTGCGGCGTCTCCCGCTAGGGGCAGACGCATCGCCGACCCCGTAGAAACCAACGAGGTCGGCAGCAGCAGCAGACGCAACAGAGGGCAAGAGGGGGGAGGGAGAACACCCCTCAAAGACGGGGGTGCGAGGGTCACCACGAGAGGCTCCTATAGTGACTATGCTCGTCTCTACTGCTAGGAGGCCCTTCTCGGGGAGGTCAACGGTGAGAGTGGTGGGGCAAACTGAGAGGAAGTGGTCCCTGTTTACGCGGAGAGAGTCACGGAGCCGGGTGACTATGTAGTAGAGGGTGATGTACATGGGGGGGGGGGGGGGGGGGGGGGTTCTTGGCGCAGAACTCAGCAGGAAGTGCAGCGCGGTAGCGAGTGTCACTAGTGCGGAGGTGCGTAATGAGGTCAGCAACTGTGGGAAAGGCAGCAAGGTCAGGGAAGAGGTACGGTAGCATGAGGCGGCTCAGTGCAGCAGTGGCAGGGGAAGAGTAGCGTGCAACTACAGCGTCGTACAAGGTCTTAGCACTCTTGCACTGGCTAAAGTGTGCACGCTCAGTGGTCGGTAAGTGGCGACGCACAACAAGACGGGCAGCAACATCGCGTGTCGCCCACTGTGAGCGAACAGTGCTGTCAGCAGTAGCAGGCGGGGCAGGGGAGGCACCAGAGGTGAGGTCGAACAGAGAGAGGCCGTCTGCCCTATCGCACTGGAGGAACAGCTCGAGGTCATCGACCCAGACCTCAAAGTCAATAGCACGGCCCTCAGTGTCAAAGGTAAGAACACTGGGGGTAGCCATGACTGCAGAGGTCTAGCAAGGAGTGGGCTCACCAGTACGAGTAAGGAGGGCCGGGGCGCTTCGGTAGGACTTGTAGCGGCTTATCGGCTCGGCTGCTGGGCGGCTCGGCGGTCGGGCGGCTCGGTGGGTCAGCAGCTGGGCGGCTCGGCGGCTCGGCTGCTCGGCGGCTTGGCTGTCGGGCGGCTCGGCGGCTAGACGGCTCGGCTGCTGGGCGGCTCGGCGGCTCGGTTGCTGGGCGGCTCAGCTGCTGGGCGGTGCGGCGGCTCTGTTGCTAGGCGGCTCGGCAGAGGCGGCGTCGAGGCCGCGTAGGAGGCGGCGTCGGGGCGGCTTAGGGGGTGGCAACGGGGCCTGCAAGAGGGCGGCGACTGGTGCCGCTAGGGGGCGGGGACGCGGCCGCGAGAGGGCGGCGACGAGGCCGCGAGGGGCGGCTGCAGGGCCGCTACGCGCGGCGACGGGGCTGCGAACGGTGGTAACGGGGCCGCGAGAGGGAGGCGACGGGGCCTCGAGAGAGCAGCGACGGGGCCGCGATAGGGCGGCAACGGGGCCGCGATAGGGCGGCGTCGGGGCCGCAAGAGGGCGGCAACGGGGCCGCAAGGAGGGCGGCGATGGGGTCGCGAGGGGCCGTGAGAGAGGGGGAGGGCCGCTAGGGGCGGCGCGACGGGTCGCTAAGGGGAGGGCGGCGCACAGGGCGCGCCTCGGTCAGGAGCGACTCGATCTCAGGGCAGGAAAAAAAAAATTCGATGTTTAGTGGTGGGCCCTAGGAACCTGCTCTATACCATGTGAGAATTGATGAATGAATGAACTAGCACGAAGTTGGGTACAAGTAGGAAACCCTAGGAAACTGTATCCCATAGTGTCTACCCCACTATAGCCGAGACAAGCTATATCATATGAGTTTGACACACGTCACTCCCACCTAGTATTTGTTTCCGTGTGTGGAGGTGTATTGGTGACTACAGGCGTCGCTACCCCCAAGAATGGTTAAGATGCGCATCTCAAACAGGCGTCCAACGGACTGCCGGGAGGGATCCGGTCCAAGGGGGTCATGACCTGTGTCTCCATTCTCCTCATCCTCCACATCGCCATCCGCGCCACCTCCGCATCTAACAAGAGTCTCCATCCATGGGGCTCGGATTTCGTCATCGCGCTCTAAGGATTCCAGATGGACCCCCACATGTGGGGCCATGTCGACAAAATTGGCAAGAAATGGTCCAAGCTGGATGGTCCTATTGGGTTATGATAAAATTTTAAACACATGAAGTGCTTTTTAATGTACGTATTTCGAAAGCGCAGCTACCGGCAACACAGATTTTGGCATCGTCGAAGCATGCTAAACGCCCTCTCCAACTACAAATCGTGGGTTGGAGTTCATTTCCCTCCACCCATGTCTCTCATTTTTCAAATGGCTCTTGCAACTCTCAAGCTGGCGAGAACTCTCTTGTTGCCCAGAGGTGTTTCCCCTTCTACTTTATTTGCGAACATTCTTAACCACAATCGTTCGACGATGGTTGCTACGCAGACACTTTACCGCGCGAACAACAACGCCGTCAACGACCCGATTAATCCCGACGTCGACCGCAACGCCCGGGAAACGCCGGGCGATCGTCGCAACAAGCGCCGGGCAGACGGTGAAACGTCCGCTCCGATCCCCGTGGACGTGCTGCTGGGTGGGCTCGAGGTCAACAAAAACGCGGAGCAGCACCCCTAGCACCCTTCGGCACATGTGGCGAACATGGCGATAGCCAACCAAGGCTTTATCAATGCGTTGATCAAGGCGTTGACCAAGGTCAAACGAGAAACTTCACAGCGGTGGCCTCTGCATCTACTAAAAACAAGATTACGACAAAAAAACAAGAAAGGTGTGAAAGGAACATCAACGCGACGCCACGACAAGGAGGTGTTCACCAGTGCTCTCGAAGCTGCAGCAGCCGACAATGACTCTGACGAATCAGGCAACGACACCGGTGAGGCTCTGATCAACGCAACACATTTTCCCTCTATGGAACATCTTCCCCCCTCCCTTCCACGAACCCCACTTTTTCAGCGGCAAATTTCTTTGACCCGCTCGTGCGGTCGAAAGCGGAGCCCCTAGAGGACTTGAGGGCCTACCTGAAGCATGCAGGGTACAAGCTGCAACACGGCAACACGGTGTGCGAACTCAAAATGGTCGTGAACGGCCTCAACCATATTTCGAAGCGCTACAAGATGTTCCAAGTCGAAGACACAACCGACGATCGCGTGGCGAAGCGTTTCAAGATATATCAGCAGAAAAGTCTCCAAACCTCTCGCCCATTCAAGCAAGCGGTCACTGATGTGGCGGCTAAGGATCGTGCGGAGAATGCACATGCTCGCGCCCACCGCGTCGGAGCTCGCAGGCCGGCGCCATTCCAAAGCGTGGGCCAACCTCGGGTGGCTTTCATGGCTTCCGGGGGGGCGTGTTTCCATTGGGCCAGCCGGGCCACGTGGCAAGTGGCTGCCCGCGGAACGGGAACGGTGGCCAGGGACACGCACCCGTGGTGCAGGCATGGGCCTTGAGCGATTGCGCCATAGTGCGCATGGCACGGTGCACGTGAGAGAGAGAGAGAGAGAGAGAGAGAGAGAGAGAGAGAGAGAGAGAGAGAGAGAGAGAGAGAGAGAGAGAGAGAGAGAGAGAGAGGCATGCCACAGAACGGAAGGAGCAGTTACGCGAGAGCAGCAGAGCGCATCCTACGGGCAGGGGAGAGCTTGGGCGAGGAGGCACTTGTTGTCGAGAATGAAGAAAATGAGATGGGTGATCGAGATTTTAACCCTGAAACGGAGGGGGTTCTCATCCAGGCACCGAGGAGGAAGGAGCCGACAATGGCCCAAACATGGAGACCCAACAGGACAGCCGCCCAAATTAGGGTTACCCCACGCCAATAGTGAGCTGCATCCCGAAATGAGAACGGGGCAAACCAAGCCGTGAATGCTAACACAGGAAATGCCCCGGCAACCAATGAGGATGCTCCGGGGCCAGCTGCACCCCGACCAATCATCAACCCTAGTGAACCGGGCTCGAACCAAATGTTGTTCAACAACATCGCAGAGTGGGATTTGGCGCCACTCCACAACAATCGTCAACCCCCGCTAGCCCGGCACCCACCCCGCTCGCACCGCGAATCCTTCGCTGCCTACCTACTGACATCCCTGCTCCACCTGGCGAAGAACCCAGACTCCAAACCAGGCTGGAGGTTAGTCATGTTTCTCCCGCGACTACTCCTTTGCACCTCGTCAGCCCATCGCCCTGATTGGCGCGCGATGGGGGACATGCTACACCGCTTTCGCCACGGTCAATGGACAGAGCTCTATGATGAGGCAGTATGAGCGACAACGTTACTAGCACAACCCCGCCATGCACCTGATGCTACGGGCCGCGAGAGGAGAAGGTCTCGCCAAACTGGCAAAAATCACTACAATCTCTCACCTCCACCCCAGTCGCCACCCCATCAACCGAAATCCTTGAGGCCATGACCGCTAGGTGTCAGAACATTATAGCTGATACATGTTTGTAGGCTGTAGTGGGGTAGCACATATGGGGTACAGATTCCTAGTGTTTGTTATTTGTACCATTTTCTGACTTAGTCATTTCATTCCTCTTCTCATTGTTTCACATGGTATAGAGCTAGGTCCCTCCAGGACCGATTTTTTTTGGGCCCACCGAAGCGCGCCCCGAGGCGCGGTTTTTTTTTTAGCGACCCCTCGAGTCGCCCTCTCCCCTGCGGCCTCGCCGCCCACTCTGTCGCGGCCCCGCCCTGACCCTTACGCGGCCCCGCCGCCTGCTCCTTACGCGGCCCCGCGCCGGCCCCTTACGCGGCCCTTACGCGGCCCCGCGCCGGCCCCTTACGCGGCCCTTACGCGGCCCCGCGCCGGCTCCTAAGCGGCCCCGCGCCGGCTCCTACGCGGCCCCGTCCCCGGCTCCTACGCGGCCCCGCCACCGGCTCCATTGCGGCCCCGCCCCGGCTCCTACGCGGCCCTGTCCGCCTGCCCCTTACGCGGCCCCGCCGCCGGCCCCTTACGCGGCCCCGCGCCGGCCCCTTACGCGGCCCCGCGCCGGCCTCCTACGCGGCCCTGCCCCGGCTCCTACGCGGCCCCGCCGCCGGCTCCTACTCGGCCCCGCGCCGGCTCTCACGCGGCCCCGTCCCGGCTCCTTCACGGCCCTGTCCGCCGGCCCCTTACGCGGCCCTGCCGCCGGCCTCTGCTCGGCCCTGCGCCGACCCCTGCGCGGCCCTGCCGCCGGCTCCAACGCGGCCCTGCCCCGGCTCCTAAGCCGGCCCTACCGCCAGCCCTGCCGCCGGCTCCAACGCGGCCCTGCCCCGGCTCCTACGCGGCCCTACCGCCGACCCCTTCGCGGCCCCGCCCCGGTTCTCTTACGCGACCCCGCCGCCTCACCTGCAGCAGTCGGGCGGCCGGGCAGCCGACCCGCCCAGTCGCCGAGCCGCCCAGGAGCCGAGTCGCCCTGCACCCGAGCCGTCCGGGAGCCGAGCCGCCCTGCACCCGAGCCGCCCTGCCGCCGAGCCGCCCGGGAGCTGAGCAGCTGTACACCCGAGCCGCCCGGTCGCCGCTCTGCTTTTCTGTCGAGCTGCACGGCCTGCCCTGCCTGGTGAGCACAGTCCCTCTGTCACTGCGCCCTCTTTCCCTACTGCTTGCACTGCTTCGCTGTCGTCATCATGGCCACCCCTAGTGTCCTAGCCTTTGACGCCGAGGGTCGCGCCATTGATTTCGAGGTCTGGCTAGATGACCTGCAGCTTTTCTTACAGTGCGACAGAGCTGACAGCCTTTCTCTCTTTGACCTCACCTCTGGCGCCTCTCCTGCTCCTACTGCCGATGCTGATCCCACTGTCCGCTCTCAGTGGGCCACCCGTGATGCTGCTGCACGTCTTGCTGTGCGTCGCCACCTCCCTACCTCTGAGCGTGCGCATTTTAGTCAGTACAAGAGTGCTCAGACCTTGTACGACGCTGTAGTTGCACGCTACTCCTCTCCTGCCACTGCTGCACTGAGCCGTCTCATGCTTCCCTACCTCTTTCCTGACCTCTCTGCCTTTCCCACTGTCGCTGACCTCATTACGCACCTCCGCACTAGTGACACTCGCTACCGCGCCGCCCTTCCTGCTGAGTTCTGCGCTAAGAACCCCCCCCCCCATGTACATCACTCTCTACTACGTAGTCGCACGCCTCCCTGACTCCCTCCGCGTAGTCAGGGACCACTTTCTCGCAGTCTGTCCCACCACTCTCACCGTCGACCTCCTCGAGAAGGCCCTCCTCGCAGCGGAGAAGAGCATAGTCGCTGTCGGTGCCTCTCGTGGTGACCCTCGCACCCCCATCTTTGAGGGGTGCTCTCCTTCCCCCTTGCTGCCCTCTGTTGCCTCTGCTGCTGCGGCCGACCTGCTTGGTCTTGAGTCGGTCGGCGCGGCGTCTGCCCCTAGTGGGAGACGTCGCTCTGGCAAGGGCAAGGGGGGCAAGGGCGCGGGCGGAGCTGGAGGGGGCGGTGGCGGTGGCGGCGGAGGCGGCGGAGGGAGTGGGGGTGGCGGCGGGAGTAGTGGTAGTGGTGGTGGTGGTGGTGGCAGCAGCGGCGGAGACGGTGGTGGTGGTGGCACCGGTGGTGGTGGAGGCAGCAGCGGGAGTGGAGGCGGTGGAGGTGGAGGCGGTGGAGGTGGAGGCGGTGGAGGCGGCGGCGGAGGAGGCGGTGGTGGTGGAGGAGGTGGAGCTGGTCGTGGTGGTACCCAGCAGCGGAGCGGCGGTGGTGGTGGCCAGCGCTCGCAGCGGCAGCAGCAGCAGCGTTCGCGGGACATCCCTCCGCCTCAGCAGCTTCGTGAGTGGTACACTGCGCGTCAGAGGGGTGGGGGTACTGGTCCCTGCGCCTACGTTCTTCGTTCCGGCGACCGCGCGGGTGAGCAGTGTGGGGGTGCCCACTCCACCCAGCGCTGCTTTGGCCGCCTGACGGACGCTTGGCGTCAGCAGTTCCCCGGGGCTAGTGAGATCCCTCGCTGGGATGAGCTCCTTAGGGCTGGTGTAGCGATCTTTGATCTTGATTTTGATGCTATCCTTTCTGCTATGTATGCTGTGACTTATAGTGAGGAGAATGAGGGTTACCGGTGTTTCCAG